ATGCTGCTTGGCCTGCTGTGTTCATCCAGCTCTACACCTTGTTATCTTTGAAAGGTGGTTGCAGTTTTGAAAATAAAGAACCGGAGTTCCACGGTGAGCATCATAAATGACTGTTCACAAACAGTAAATGAAGTTTGACTAGCAGAAATTTCAGAGCTGAGGTGGTGCACTGATGCAGCTTTTGCTGGGAGCAAGAAGTTGATCGGGCTATGGACTAGTGACCAGTTATCAAAGGTAGAGAATTTTTTTTCCTACTAACAACTGCATGATTTGTTCTCAGGTAACTGAGAAGCTTGGAGCTAGGAACAAGCTACAGAGAACGACGTTCAGTTCTTTTCAAGCTCATGAGTTGGACCTTTGCTTTCTGCAGTTAAAACTCACCACAATCCTGAAGTTTATTTTTCCTGCAACAGTTGTTCTAAGCTGTGACTTTTAACTGATAAAGTAAGAGATCTTTTATAAGGGAACCAGCCACCTTGTGTCTGTTACCAAGCAGTGTAAGGATCCAGAGAAAGATGACTGAAGCAACGGCTGATGAGCAGAAAAGACACAAAGATCATCTCACAACATTTTACAACATGCCTGTCTGTGTGTCTCAGTTTGTGTAAGGGGGAAGTTTATTAGGCAATTAAAGTTCAATTAATAGTATTAAATGTCAAAGCTTTCCAACTGTTTACCTGTAGCGAGAGTCCAATTACTTCCAATAAATGGTGATTCTTGTTCAGTATAGAAACCTGATCCATGCTTTCTATCAACATAGGGATCTGAATGTCAGGTAAATTGGGGAACTTTCTATATCTCAAAATCTTTAACTTCTGAGACGACTCTGGGAATAGCAGAGGTCAATTTCCAGCTTTCTATTCCACTGAGGCATGACAATGGTCACCTATTCCTTTTCTCAGTGTATCCATGAGCTGCAGGGTGATCACATCTAGAATTGTGCAGTCCATGTTGCTTTCAGATTCACGGCTGCACCACAGTGACACTAGCGCTGGTTCCAAGGAAACAAGGCCATTGTCAATGTGCGTTGCACAAATTGTTATTAAGGATCCAGGAATTATCCTGGAGAACATACATTACACAGGATATGCTTTCAAGGTTGCAGTCATCCTACCATTACTTTAATCATTAACTCAAACTTTGCTATTGCTGATACACCCTACTCCTAATAATAAACCTGAGCAATGCTAATAAGGCTTTGACATTAAAATACACTCATACTATAATTAATAAACCTTTCAGATACTGAGAAAGTATAATACTTTCCAACCCCATGACTGCATGCACAGTAGCAACAATATATACGACCTACAAGCTGCACTGCTGAAATCCACCAGGACTCCTTAGACAAGCACTTTCTGAACCACCACCTTGAAAGACACAGGCAGCAGACTCACAGAAACACCATCAACTTCAAGCTCCCCTGCAAGCCCCTCACCATCCTGACTAGAAATATATCACCAACCTCTCTGTCACTGGGTGAAAAATCCTGAAACTATCTTCCTAATAGCACAGTGGGTGTTTCTACACCTGAAGGATTGCAATGGTTCAAGAAGGCAGCCCACTGCCTATCTTCAGAAGATTCAGGGTAGAAAATAAATACTGGCCCAGCCAGCGACACCCACATCCCAGGAGTGAATTTAAAAACAAAAACAGTGAGTTTGAATGTAGCAAGTCTCAGCAACGACTCACATGTTAGTTGTTACTAATAGTTAATACTTTCAATTTTTTTTTAAATTGCTGGTTATTTAGCTTTATTACTAAGCAGCAATGCTTATCCACCACTCACAGCTGTTGTGAAATTTAATTTTGATCTGTTTTCAAACCTAATGTGCTTCTGAATTAGCAGTTATAGCAGTGCCACTTCTGTTCTCTCCCACTTCTACTCAAAGCCTAGGACTCTGTAGGCTTTGTTTAAAAGAAAAGCCTCAACAACTCGTCCTATCACCTTCAAAGAGGTCTACACATAGACATGCTTGCCTAGTACCCCTTACGCTGCTCCATCCCAGTCTCCATCTCATTGCTGCTTTTAAATTGCACCAATTTAGCTTACATCGCCTCTCAGCATTCTTCCTTCCAAAATGTATCACCTGGCACTTCAGTGCATTCAACTACATCTCTTACATTTTGATGTCTGAAGTCTATTAAGATTCTCTTCATTGTTTACTACATTTCCACCATCACGTCACCTGCAAACTTGAAAAGGTTTCGTACCCAAGTCCTGTCCACAACTGTATGAAAAAGAGATTATGATCCTAACACCAACCCCAATCACTGCCAGTCAGTATTCAGTCTGTAAAACAACTACTTCCCACACTTGGTCTCGTAGCCAATTATAAAATTTATTTTGAATCTATTTGTTTGTGGGATGTGAACATTATTGACAAGGAAAGGATTGGTTTTCTTAATTGAGCACAATGATTTGCTGGGCTATTTCAGATTGCAATTAAGAATCAAATCAGGCCAGGTAAAGATGGCACATCTCCTTCCCCAAAGGACATTACAACTAGATTCTCCAGCATCAGCAGTTCCTACTATCTCTGTAACAATATTACAACTATGCTTATTTTCATTATAACCATCTCTAAAGATTAACATATGCTGCAGACTTATTAATTGAATTTAAAATTTCCCCAGCTGCCAGGGTGGGATTTGAACCCATGTCCTTAGAGGAGAAGTTTAGATTACTAGTCCAATGTCATTACCACTGCTCCTTCACTTTCCCCTGTGTTGTATCATTTCTCAGCTCCACCTAACTTCCTTTGCTTCGTATTCCTTGCTCAAAAAGATTGTATTGACCTCCAGTAGATTATATCAGTGGATTCTGGCTGAGCAGTCATGTGATGGGATTACCGAGAGATTCCAAATCCTGGCCAGTTAGATTGCAGCTACACAGCTTCAGGACACGGAGACGGGTGCTATTTTGCGACATTTGGAGAAGTAGCCCCAGGTTTCCACCGATGCATTTATTCCAGGACAGGTCCAAGATCTCTAGCTCCGTTAGGCTTGGGATGGTGTCAGCTGTAATATTTAACACAATAGTTTCATTTGTATCATCAATAATCTTCCCAAAAACTTAAAAACACAAGCTGAATGGAACCTACAGAGAATAGCTGGAAACTCTGAGTGGCACAGTGACTCAGTGGTTACTGCAGCTGCCTCACAGCACCAGGCTGGAATCAAACCTAGCTCCCTTAGGTGACTGTCTGTGTGCAGTTTGCATGTTCTCCCGTGTCTGCGTGGGTTTTCTCCGGGTGCTCCAGTCTCCTCCCACAGTCCAAAGATATGTAGGTTAGGTAGTGCCAAATTGCCCCGTGGTGTCCAGGGATGTTCCGGTTTGGTGATTTAGACATGGTAAATGCAGGGTTGCAGGGGTAGTAAGGGGCATGGGGTGCTCTTTGAAGGGTTGGTGACTTGATGGGCCAAATGGCCTCCATCTACACTGTAGGGATTCTATAAACTCAGTTTAAGGACTATGCACATGACAAGTGAAATGTACAAAAAGAACCAGCCTGTCTGGGACTCTGATCTGAATCATGGAATGGTCATGCACGGAAGGAGGGATGAAGAGGACAGCACAGCACAGTACAAATGGATAGAGTGCTGCTCTCAGGAATTTGATGAATGAGGTTGTTTTCCTGTATTTTACAGAGCACAGAATAGCCAGGGAGGTAACAGGACACAGGATGCAAAAGCCAAAATCCAGAGGCATCAGATAAGCAGTTGTGTGATTAAAAAGGTGGTCAGTTTTAAGATTCCAATTTTTTCTAAAGTTAGGCAGTAGTTTAGATAGTCTTGCAAAGACATCAGTAAAGTTTTTAAATTTACAGCCGACTGGTTACACTATTTAATGTAATCACAAATTATGGATCAGCAGCATTTCTAAACTGTTTTATTGGAGTTTGAAGAAGTCCATGGGTGAGCTGACTGCCCTTGACATCAAAGTTGCATTTGACAGAGTGTGGCATTTGGGAACCCCAGCAAATCTGGAGGCAAATGGGAATCAAGGGGAAATCTTTCCAATGATTGGAGCCTGGCCTGGCACAAAAGGAGATGGTTGTGGTTGTTGGAGTTCAGCCTCCAGGATATCCCTACAGGGGTTCCTCAGTACAGTCTTAAGCCTCAGTACAGTCTTGAGCTGCTTCACTACTGACCTTCCCTGCACAAGGTCAGAGGTATGACTGCTTAATGTTGTACAGATTTACAAATTAGGAACAGGTGGTGGTGATTTGGCCCTTCAAGCCAGGTCTGTTTTTCAATACGATCAGAACTGATTCTTTATCTCCATACCCATTGATGTCTTTTAATATCTAGAAATATATCAATTTCTATCTTAAATATATTCAGTGACCCAACCTCCACAGCCTTCTGTGGCAGCAAATTCCACAGGATTGCATCCTCTGAATGAAGAAGTTTTTTTCTTTAATTCCTTCATGGGAGGAGGGCATCACTGGCCAGGCAGCATTTATTGCCCATCCCTAATTGCCCAGAGGGCAGTTAAGAGTCAACTACATTGTCTGGAATCAGATAGGCAAGAACTGGTAAGGATGGCAGTTTCCTTACCTAAAGGACATCGGTGAATCAGAGGGGTTTTTCTGACGATCAGTAATGGATTCATGGTCACCATTAGACTCTTAATGCCAGATTTTTTTTTATTGAATTCAAATTCTACCATCAGCTGTGGTGGGATTCAAACCCAGATTCCCAGAACATTATCTGGGTCTCTGGATTAGCAGTGCAGCAATAATACCACTAGGCCATCACCTCCCCTGTGAAGAAATATTTCCTGATCTCAGTTCTAATGGCCTACTCTATCCTGAAGTTGTGATCCCTGGTTCTCGACTCCACACCCAGGAGAAATATCTTCCCTGCATCTAGTCTGTCCAGCCCTGTCAAAATTTTACACATTTCAATCAGATCCCCTCTTGTTCTTCTAAATTCTAGAGAATACAGGCCCAGGCAAAACAAATCTAAATTTATCTGGCAATGTTTCCAGCCCCGGTATCAGCCTAGTTAACTTTTGCTGCACTTCCTCTAAGGCAAGTATATTCTCTCTCAGATAGATAGGGAGGCCAAACTATACAAAATAATCCAGGTGTGGTCTCACAAATAGTTGCAGTAAGACATCCCTACTTTGGAATTAAATCTCGCAATGAAGGCCAATTTCCCTTCCTAATTGCTTGCTTCACTTGCCTGTTTACTTTCATCAACTGGTGTACAAGGACACCAAATCCCTTTGTACATCCACACTTCCCATTTAGATAATGCTCTGCTTTTAATGTTTCTCACACCAATATGCATTCTGTTACATTTATTCACATTACACTATATCTGCCATGTGTTTGACCACACACTCGACCCGAGATCACCCTTGGGTTCTCCTCTTACCTCATTTTCTTGTCGTCAGCAAAACTAGTAATATTATATCTGGTTCCCTTATACAATTCATTTAAAGATATTGTGAATAGCTGGGGCCCAAGCACTGGTCCCTGAAGTTCATAACTAGTCATTGCTCGCCACCTGATAAAATAACCATTTATTCTGTTTCTGGTCTGTCAACTCTCAGTCCTTGCCAGTGTACTACTCCTTACATCCCTTGTGCTTTAATTTTGCCCAAGAGCCTTTTTTTGTTATTCATTCACAGAATGAGGGCCTCATCAGCTAGGCCTGTGCTAGTTATTTATTGTCTAAAGGGCTGTTAAGAGTCAGCCACGTTGCTGTGGGTCTAGAATCATACATAGGCCAGACTAGGTGTAGGATGGCAGTTTCTTTCCCTAAAGAACGTGAGGGAACCAGTTAGGTTTTTCCTGACAATTGACAGTGGCTTCTTGATCATCATTAGACTACTAAATCCAATTTTTAATTGATTTCAAATTCCACCATCTGCCTTGGCAGGATTTGAACCTGGGTCCCCAGAACCTTACCTTGCTCTATGGATAACAATTCAGCAATAACACCAGTAGGCCATCACCTCTTCTGTGGGACTTTATCAAAAGCCATCTGGACATCTAATTACACCACTTCCACTTGTTCCACATAACCTATTCTACTTGTTCCATCCTCAAAAAACTCCAGGAGGTTAGTTCCATGTGATTTCCCTTTCATAAACCCATACTGACTTTGTCTAATCCTGCTGATGTTTTCCAACTCAACAAGGTGCAGAGCTGGATGAACACAGCAGGCCAAGCAGCATCAT